ACTCACAAATCGGCATTTGATATTCTATATACATGAATATAGATATTATTGTTTACATTAACTAAAGGTACATTTTTTTCTGTTTATTTTGTTATGATTTGATCATCAATTCGATTAAATAGCGTGTGCGTAAGAAAAAAAACCTGGTCGATTTATGATGAAATGGAATTTATAAATGAAATAACCTTGAAACGGTTTCGAAACAATCATGTTTTATAATTTTCTTTATATAGGTGTAGTGAATTTAATAAAATTATACACCTATTTTATTACGTAGGTTATATAATAATATCAAATGGTATATTTAAAGATACAACGTTTTTTCAAGTTAAAAAAGGTAATAATTTTAAATCTATACTTTGAAAATCATTTTTAAACAACATTCGATATTAAAATGAAATTCATGATCGTAAATTTAAAAAAAATATATTAAAGAAACATCTTGTAAATGTTTGTAACATTTAAATGTTGATTTTTATTATTTTGTATTCTTATATTGTATACATTTTTTTTAAATATTTGTAATTTTAAATTATTTCACGTAGGTATAAGTATTGAGGCAACCCTATAAGCCCTTTATAAAGAAGAATGAACAGAATGTAAAACTCGCAATACAACTTATTGCAAAGGAATGGTAACTATCAAACTGTCTAGTGTCTATAATAACTAGTAGCTTTTAAGAAAAGTTATTTTTATTTTGGAAGGTTTGTAATATTATTTATAGTATATATAATTTCAAATGACATTTAAAATTTATACTGATAACTTATATAATTTTTATTAAACTTTTTTACGCCTGATTGCTAAAAAGAACGAGGTTCTGTCAGTTCGCTAATGGCGGAAAATATATCCAGTTATAGCAAATTAACCCACAGATATTTGATATGGAGCTGCATTACTACTCATGGCAAGGGTATCGTATTTGATATCACCAACTCTTAACTAGCGTGGTGGGTACGGTCAAGTTCGTCAAGAAATGCGCCAGCAGTGAATTTCCAAGATATAAGATTAAAATTTTATCCTCAAGTATTAAATTAAATATATATTTATTTTAACCTTATCACACATAAAAATATTTCGGTGTGATTTCGTAACATTTAATTTTTACTTTCCTTTACTATATTGTCTATTTTCGAATACTCTAATATTAAATACTCTGAGCCATTGTGGTCTATTTAACAATTACCCTTAGATGTTCTTCTTCTTCTTTTTCATCAGACCAAAAAGTGTTCTGCTGGGCGTGGGCCTCTCTAACGTTAGGGAGGTTTTCTCCAGTGTTAGATGACGATCTCACTACCAGACGTCTCGCACTTTGACGTAGAGCTACCTGTTGCCGAGTATTTTACGTCGTGTATACAAGAATATAATAGAATAGAATTTTTTTATTCATTGTAATTCTTATTGATAGTAATTTTTTTATTGATAGTCATGCCACCATTTTTGGAAGCCATTAGCTTTTTCTGGAATTTCACACAGTTGCCTCTAACGACACCCACGGGACGGGACGAAATGGGGCGATAGATTCTAACATCATTAAAATATTAAGTAAGGGATAATATTTCGATGTATCTTCTTGGATGTGCCGCATTCAACAAATTGTAATATAATATTTTCTTTACAAAATTTATTATATTGCATGTTGGAGATATTTCAAATCACTCGAAATCTTTTATTTATTAATAATATAATCGCATTATTTTAAATTTCATGATCATGTAACAGAAATGTATGATAGTACACTGTGGATTTTTTTACCATAATGCCAATGATGCGTAGCGAAGTGTATATGAGTTTGTAATAAAAGAGTTTTTATATGTTTAGTTAACGTACTTAATGACACGTGGCTCGTCTTGTAATGAAAGTTTAAAGAATTTTTTAATGCTATTAAAATTACTTGGCATGCAAAAATACGTAACGGCCATGTAGTGGTGGATTAAAAGAATCCTCTAAACTATATTATCCTATTGGTATCGTAAGAGGCGACAGAGGGAAATGAAAATGGAGATGTGGCAGCATGTTCCTAATGACACCTCAAAATAATAAAAAACAGCGATTGCCTACCCTTTAAGAGAATCAATAGGGAATGCTTTTTTCACATGGGGAAATGCCTATGCATACCCACCTCGCGGGGGCAAGGACGGGTTATGTAAGACTCGCACCAACTAAAATCCCATGGTGTTCCATCTTCGCCGCATATTGGCAGGGCCACGGGAACGCTTTTCATACATCCTCGATCTTGCTCGCTCCTCGCATCGCGGGAAGGATTTCTCCTTTCCATTCTCTTTCTCAGGCAAGGCGCACCAGGGACACAAGGTGCTCCTACCTTCAAGGCCTCCAAATCCACCTGCGTAACGTACCCCCCGATTCCGATACGCAGAGGCCATAGGGCCAGGATAAACGAGCGCTCCTGAGCGCCCGCTTTGCCGACCCCAGCGGTGGAGCTGATCTCTGGCTCCGCACTGAGAGGGGAGGCCTATTCAGAGGTGGATTTTTTGTGAGCTGTAACGAATGATGAATAAATGTGTGGGTACCTTCATATTAATACTATTAACATTATGGTCAACAATGAAGATATTATATCTTTATTTCTATAACTAGATGTTTTTTTTTCACGAAATAAAACAATTCGTAGTCAAAAAACCACGGAGTGACTTTCATGCACATGATTTAATTGCTGATAAATACATGTTTAAGTTGGAGCACGTGACGCCGCCGCAAGTATTTAGCGTACGACGTCTTCTGCATAAGCTGCTTGAGCCCTGCAGGTCTCGGGCCTCGGAGTGTTCCCCATAGCCCGGATTATCCTCACGGCCCATTACTATGGGCCGGTCCTGGGAGCCTTATATAAAGGCGTTGTTAAAATGTTCGGTTATTATCCGTAATCGGTTAAGTTTTCGTAGTCGGTTGAGCTACGAAAAAAGTTGGTTATCTGTTACGGTCGAAGTTGGCCTTTCTGCAGCATTGTGGGTTTTACTCAACACTTAATGTATGTAGAGAGGAGTTCTCTTGGATAAGGTCAAGGTAACCCGCCCGGGGCCGAGTATGTTGCGGCACAAAGTTGTTCAGGTGTGGGTGTGACCCGTGGTCTACGCGGTTGAACAAGCTGCGCGCCAACGGACCACTTCTTGTTTCTATGTTCAGATTGGCCACTATAACGTCATTCCAGACGTAGCAACCTGCTCCGACAATGGTTCGTAGTGCTAGGTTCTGTTGGGCCTGCAGTTGCCGCCTCAGAGGATCGCTCAGAAGTGCGTACCAGGCCGGAGCAGCGTAGGTGATTAGTGGTCTTATGTATAGCTTGTAGATTTTGATTTTCGTCTTGATCGGTAACTTAGATGACAGGACTGGCCGGAGCATCAACCGCGCACATATGGCTTTGCGGACGACGAAGTCGATGTGCGCGGTCATGCGCAGCGTTCTGTCATTCCGGCACTCAAGTAGGTCACGGCCTTCTAGTACGCGATCTTCTGGCCTCTGAGCGTCAAAGGTGGTGGTAGGTTCCTCAGACGGTGAGTGAGCAGTGCGGTCGTCTTACTAAACAGACTAACCGTGAAGACAGCTTCAGTATAAATTATGCTAAGGTGATAAACTTGAATATAAATATCTATTTGTTCGATATAACAAATGGAAATTATGTTGCTAGTGGTGGAAGCTAATACATGATAGATATACTCGTAGCTATAACCGTAGCGTAACGATGCGATGACGTATTTCTTTCATATTTGCAGAAGCTTTATGTTCAGTATTAAGGGGAAATATAATGTAAAATGGCTTAGCAAGATCCTTCGTTATGCCGAAAATATTGCAGCATTAATTTTGAAATAAATATATGGTAAAGTTGAGGATTAATGTTAATGATTATGTTAGACGAAAACACGAATTTGTAAAATTTTCTCGATAGAAAAAAAATCCATAGTTACCTCCAAAATAAACAATAAACCGCTGTTATTCATAAAATACTTTAAATAAGATCATGAAACTTTGCATACTAACTGAACTAACTATAAAGCAGTGCTTATGTTATTTACTTTTTTTAAAATACCATTATTTTCACTGTAAAAAGAAATTACCTAAACTATCGGCGTCTTGAGCTTGATTCCTGTCGCCCGTTAGTATCGCTTAGGCTTTTGAAGGGAGAAGTTGTGTCGCTTACGATCAGAATATACATTACGCAACAGTACGACGTAAAATTAAAATGGGAAATAACCGTGATAAAAATAAGAAGCGGCTGGCTTGGCGTTAAGAAACAGGCATAAATATGATAAACCTAATGAAATAAGTGTCTAACGACCTTTCTACTTACAGTATTAGTGATTACAAACATATCGGTACATAGCATACCACGCGCGGGGGAAGTGGGGGCGAAATTAGAATTTGTAGTAAAAGTAGCCATGTCGCAGCGTTACCTCGTGTGTAATTTGCCATTTGGTGGTAGCATAAGATAATTATTTACCTATATTAATTATTGAAACGTCTTTTTAAATAAATACAAACAAGCAAACTTGATCACAAATTTTGTGGTACATAGTCACCTACATATGTCCGATATTAATAGATGCGTTGTTACCCCATAGGAAGTTCTCGTACTAAACGAAATTTCTTTGTCTTTACATGTCTTTTAATACTTTAAAGAAGAAGCTAAAACATTTAAAAAAATCATAAAATTTAAAATAATTTTAGTTTTTATTTTATTTGCAGGTCGTAACATTTCAGCGGGGGAACCATTATATTGTCAAACACGTCCTTTTAACTCTAGTGAAGACTTAATTGAAGTGGTTGCAGCAAAACCTTTGGAAATGTGGTGGCACGAATGGGATGCTGCTTCAAGTACAGTGGAGACACCACTTTTACTTTCCTGTCCGTTAACAGATAGTCTATATAACTTGTCTGTAGTGTCTATCGTTACTGAACCCTGCGAAGATCCTGGTAATGCATTTTTATTAAAACCATCAAAAAAATTAACCAAATACAAACGAACATTTACAATATGCGTTAAAGATATGAATTTCAATAAAAAAATAACGCAAAACTTAATAGAATGGATTGAAACCAACAGAATACTAGGCGTTGACCTTGTTGACGTATATATTGATGAAATAAGCGAGGAGATTCAAAATGTCCTATTAAGATATAAAGATCAAGGGTATGTTAGATTATTTCACGTTCCTATTAAATATAGCTTTGAAAGATCCCTATGGCAAAGAAGAAGGGATCATTTAATAACTTATAACGATTGCTTATACAGAAATTTAGCAGAATCAGAGTATATTGTACCGTTAGATGTAGATGAAATACTGCTGCCAAAAATAGCTTTTAATTTGTCAGAATTGCTGAGACGTTTAAGAAGTTATGGTTGGAATCCAAAAGAATATTCAGCAATTTTAGTTCAAAATGTTTTCTTTTTTGATTTTATGCAAGGAGTGCATAAATATAAATTCTTTAAAAATGATTCTAACAAGAGTAAGATCTATGTCAAACGAGATAATGTACGAATTAACGACGCGATCAATATGAATGTAGAGAAAATAGAATTAGAAGATGATTCTAATAGTTTAAGTATGACTGATTTAGATAAAGAAAACTTAAACAAATACGGAATTAAGTGTAAAAGGAAAATTCCTATTCCCAAATTATCACAAAATATTATTCGCTCAGCGTTAGTGAGTCCCGTTGGTTATTATAGTAAAAGTATGATGCTAACAAGAAGAGTATTAACTGCATTTAATCACTACCCTTTAACAAACCTTGGAATGAAAGGTTTCGCCGGATGGTCAGCCCCATTCAGCGAAGTGCAGCTCAATCATTATAAGGTACGTAAATGGTCGATTTAATAAATAGTTCGCTTTGTATTATTATGGAAATATTCGACTTTATTACTTCGTATTATGTTAAATCACTTTAACACTAGATACATTTATAGAGTTTGCAATTATTTCGAATAAAAATTAAAAATAAAATATGCTTCTAATTAAAACTGTACCAGAGAGTAGAGTGTTAATTTATTTTCGTCGATGCGGATTATTTTATCGATTTATTTGTATGAAATAAAAATATATATTAATTTTGGGATAAGTTTACATAGTTTTAGTTACATTTAAACAAAATACAGTAAAAATCTGTATGTTTATTTGTAATTATTATTTAAATCACACTTGTTACAACTGTCGTATAAAACTATATCACATTTTTGTATTACCAGGAGTCGTGCAACACGACGATGGTGGCGGAGTGCGTAAGGTATGTACAACGGGCTCGAGTTGATCGCACTGCACTGCGACTGCATCCTCGGCTAACTCACGCTCTCGCTGCTGCACTTTGCCATAAAATAAAAACGATTTAAAATCAAATAGTTTTTAATTTACCTGATCTGGGAAGTTATATTTTTGAAATCGCACATAAACTTAATATTAAAGCATATAGCATGGTATTTATTATAACCTATCAAGGTTTACTGCTGAATAGGCCTTCACATTAATTGCCTCATATGGTGGATATTTGCCATACTTACCTCGCTTGGCAGGCGTATTGGTAACCGCAGTTTTTTAAATTTTATTATTGTTATTAGGCAGATGTTGTTGCTCATCACCTGGTTTGTCTCTCTTAGTCGCCTTTTGCGACACCCACGTGCGATATAGTAAATAAATACTCTTAAACTGTCATACATGGTCAATAGTACGATATAAAATAAATAATTTATTTTAATGTAAGATTGTCTCTGATTGTGAGATTCTGAGTTCGAACACAAATCGAAAAATAATTATTAGTAGAAACTTTCTCTTCTCAAAATATAATTGACAGTTTGGAGTATGAAAATGAACCCAAATTAATGCAAGAACCATCCCATCCCATCCCATCTTCTGTCTACGGATCATTATAACTACATGAATTATTTTCTTATGAGTCATTAATGGATAATTATATTTATTTACTTCTCGTAAGGTAGCCTTAAAGTATACCACATTAAGGTCTGTTAAGCTGGAATGGTCATTTGGGCAAAATCACTTCAATTATTGCTAAATATTTAGTGCTCATTTAGTGCTAATTTAGTGCTGCAAATTTAAATTTCACGCCAAAATAGCTTGATCAAAAATTAGAAAACTGCTAGCTTAATTACTGTTCTACCTATTAAATCGATAAGCACTTAATCCAGCAACAAATAGAAGCATCAATAATTTAGTGCTTATTTAGTGCTGCCGATATACGCAAACACAAAAATTGGAAAAATATATTTTTTTTATATCATACATTCTGCTACTTTGACATCTTTAGCAGAGTATGTGATGAAACATTGACATCCAAGTGAATTCTTACCTAATGATATAAGATAATAATTTAGTGCTCATTTAGTGCTGTCGGTGTACGCAAAAACAACTTGGGAAAATATATTTTTTTATTTTCATAAACTCTGCTACTTTGACATCATTAGCAGAGTATGTAATGAAAAAATTGACATCAGAGTGGGCTATCACCTAATGATATAAGATAATAAATTAGTGCTCATTTAGTGCTGTCGGTAAACGAAAAAGGATTTGGGAAATTATTATTTTTAAATACCGCTAACTGCTACTTTGACATCTTTAGCAGAGTGTGTAATGAAACATTGACATCCATGTGAGTTATCACCTAATGATATAAGATAATAATTTAGTGTTCATTTAGTGCTGCCGATATACGCAAAAACATAACTTATGAAAATATATATTTATTAAAGTCATAAATTCTGCTACTTTGACATCTTTAGCAGAGTATGTGATGAAACATTGACATCCAAGTGGATTCTCACCTAATGATATAAGATAATAATTTAGTGCTCATTTAGTGCTGTCGATGTACTCAAAAACAAATATTGGGATATTATATTTTTTTTATTTTCATAAACTCTGCTACTTTGACATTTTTAGCAGTGTATGTGATGAAATATTGACATTCATGTGAGTTATCACTTAATGATATAAGATAATAAATTAGTGCTCATTTAGTGCTGCCGATATACACAAAAACAGATATTGGGATAATATATATTTTTTTAATATCATAAATTCTGCTACTTTGACATCTTTAGCAGAGTATGTGATGATACCTTGACATCCAAGTGGATTCTCACCTAATGATATAAGATAATAATTTAGTGCTTTTTAGTGCTGTCGATGTACGCAAGAACAAAACTTGGGAAAATATTTTTTTTTATTTTCATAAACTGCTACTTTGACATCAAAGTGGGCTATCACCTAATGATATAAGATAATAATTTAGTGTTCATTTAGTGTTGCCGATATACGAAAAAGGATGGAAGGAAGGAAGGAGTGATAGCCCACTCTGATGTCAATTTTTTCATTACATACTCTGCTAAAGATGTCAAAGTAGCAGAGTTTATGAAAATAAAAAATATATATTTTCCAAATATTTGTTTTTGCGTACATCGACAGCACTAAATGAGCACTAAATTATTATCTTATATCATTAGGTGAGAATCCACTTGGATGTCAATGTTTCATCACATACTCTGCTAAAGATGTCAAGGTAGCAGTTTACGGTATTTAAAAATAATAATTTCCCAAATCCTTTTTCGTATACCGACAGCACTAAATGAGCACTAATTAATTATCTTATATAATTAGGTGATAGCCCACTCTGATGTCAATTTTTTCATTACATGCTCTGCTAAAGATGTCAAAGTAGCAGAGTTTATGAAAATAAAAAAAATATTTTCCCAAGTTTTGTTTTTGCGTACATCGACAGCACTAAATAAGCACTAAATTATTATCTTATATCATTAGGTGAGAATCCACTTGGATGTCAAGGTATCATCACATACTCTGCTAAAGATGTCAAAGTAGCAGAATTTATGATATTAAAAAAATATATATTTTCCCAATATTTGTTTTTGTGTATATCGGCAGCACTAAATAATTGATGCTTCTATTTGTTGCTGTATTAAGTGCTTATCGATTTAATAGGTAGAACACTGCTAGCTTAATTAAAAGCTAGCAGTTTTCTAATTTTTGATAAAGCTATTTTGGCGTGAAATTTAAATTTGCAGCACTAAATTAGCACTAAATGAGCACTAAATATTTAGCAAAAATTGAAGTGATTTTGCCCAAATGACCATTCCAGCTTAACAGACCTACCACATTATAAGCTTTTGAAAAGTCCACTGTTACAAAGTTTGATTACTTAAACACTAAGCAGGCCGATAGGTGAGGGTAAAGGTAAAACACTCTTGCTATTACGTTGCACTACATGTGGTAAAAGTGTGTATTTACGGTCATACCAGTGGGATTTCAATTTAATATTTTTGGACGGATTTTTCGCCGTCAGTCGATGGTCAGAACCTCGTCTGTCCAACAATAATGTGCACTAAACAAAGCACAACACCACCATGTGGTGTCATAATATCGAACGTGGTCAAGCCAGCAGTTGCAGCTACATTATGGTTACAGTACGAATGGGTCGGCACGACAGGGGAACGATCATGCTGCCGCAGAATACAAGCCTAAAATAGCAACTTAATGCTGCTCTTTACAGTCAGTGTATAAAACCGCAGTCCCTATTTACTGGTAATCAGACATTTTAGCTTAGTCATCAGGACTGTGAGCTCGTTGGTCACCCTTATTCTATAAAATAATAATAAATAAATAAATAAATAAAACACTCACACCTGTCACCCAGAGGGGTAGGCAGAGACTACGGACTTCCATTTGGCACGATCCTGATATACCTCTTTCGCCTCCTTTACATCCATATATCTACGCATACATGCTCGTCGGTTAAGGGTACTTCTAACGTGGCCCATTTTCAAAATATCGCCAATTTGGTCGATAAACTTTTTCCTTGGGCGTCCCTTCCCGACTCGGCCATTCACATCTGCCATATAAATTTGCTTTGTCACTCTTTCCTCATTCATTCTTTCTACGTGACCAAACCACCGAAGCATTCCTTTCTTAATCCTGGTCACAACATCATCTTGCATACCACATTTATCTCTTATCACGCAATTTCTCACCCTGTCATTCAGATTACACCCTAGCATATTCCTTAAAGACCGCATTTTATATATTAGATAATAATAATAAGTGACAAAATTAGATTATCTATGTTTTATTATTTAATGTTAATATTGTGTATATACAAACTAAATATATTTCACTCCTATAAACAGATTTAACAAAATATACTATTGCAAGAAATAAAGTTGGAATGTTCCCGGAAGCATGGAGCTAAATCGTGTACCAGAGTAACCGTTTTCAGACTGGTCTAGAACTGGATCTTGCTCGTAAAGCGCCTATCTCAGACAAATTCGACATTAATTTGCCTTGTTGTTTTTCCATACAAAATATGTTCACAATATTTATTACTGTAGATGTTTTGGTAACAATTTCTAACAATAAATATATTCAAATCAAAATTAGGTACAGAAGCTATAATTAACTTAATTAATTTGACAAAATCATTATGTTGAACTGGTGTTTGAATTGTATACATATTTATTGCTCGTTGGCGCCCCCGTGGTTGCTCTCCTTTTTATTTTCGGGTCCTCCGTGTTTCCCCCCCCGCCGCTTGTGGCCGTCCCGCTTCTAAAGCCTGATATACCATTTTCTTCAATCGTTTCCTGTGTGTCCTCTTGAGCGCATTTAACTTAAAATTATTAAATGTGAAAATACGTATAAATATCTTAATTGATAATAATTTCACTTTTTATAAAGTCGTTGTAGTTTAGGGAATGGGTTCGATTCGATCTTGTTGATCGCAATTTTTAAGTGCTAATTAATCATGTGCTCTTAAAAATGAAGATATAAATAATAATAAATAAATACATAGAACATGGAAGTCAACTTCCGGTGGACTGTTACAGTATACAAATAGATCAACAGTATTTTGCCATTGTTATTATTATTATTCCAATGGCAGTCGTTATTATCTCCCTCGCCTCTTGCATGTAAATTCGAGTTGATTTACATGCAAGAGGTTCCCGGTTTATTGTGAACTCTAGACTGCTTACCTTAGGTTATATACAAATCTAAGCATCCAAACACCGTTTCCAGGACATTGCCCGCTTCGAGTCTTATGACGGCAGATCAGAACTAAGCGATAACTTTCTATACAATATTGACTGTGTTATTTATAAAATATTATGGAATAGATGCTAAATTTCTATAATATTACTACTTGTTGATATATTAAAAATTTTAATTCTGCATAATATAGATTAAATTTACAATATGAAAATTTTTAATAGTCCGTTTTATTATATAAATATTACACATTTATTTCATTTTTTTATTGAAACTGTTTAAGTAATTATTGTACTGTAGTACATAAATATATGTAAGTATAGAGTTT